GCGCTCGGGCTCCTCTCGCCACCACTCACTGCAGCGATGGACGGAGACGGTGACCCAGGTAGCCGACGCCGCCCAGACCCACGCATTCACGGGAGGGGAGACTCGGGCAGGCGAGCGAGTGCCTCAGAGGGGGTGGCCATCGGAGAGTGAGGGAGACCCCCAGAGACCCAGCAGAGCAAACTTTCACCCAAGCAAGTCATTGGCACGCACAGCCCCCAAAGCGCTTGGTCTGCGATTTGGCATCTTGGTCCAAAGGAAGCCTGGAGACATGTCTGGGAGGGAGCTAAGGGGGACCCCCTGATCAGCCTTGGGGTCACCCCAGTTTCCCGAGAGCCTGAGGGCTGAAAGGGTTCTGGGAACGATGCGGTTCCTACAAGCCTTTCCCCATCAGCTTCCTCCCTTTGCCAACTCTGGCCTGTGAGCTGCCCGGATGCCCATGGATGTCTCATGAGTACCGGACTACCTGGCAGTCCAGCCTTCTCCTGGGCTCTCTCCTAACGGAGGGGCTGCCCTTCACTGGGCCAGTTGGAAGTCCAGGATGAGAGAGAGTTGGGGGCCAGCCTGTGCTCAGGGCCTACTAGTTACCACCCCCACCCCCAACTTTCGCTGTCCCCACAGAGGTTGCCTGCTGAGTCAGGGTGGGCCCATCCTTTTCCCCTCAGGCCCAGCTGAGGGTGGGCACTGCTTGAGGGAGGCACTGAGATACTGGCTACTTCTCTCCCCACCCTGAAGTCCCTGCATCTCAGCCCCCCCCCATCTATGCCCCCCTTGCCACACCCTTTCTGGGGCTCCTGCTTCTTCCCAGAGCCCAGCTATTCCCTGGGCTCCGGGGCCCAATCCAGCTGAGTGACTCAGCCTTGGGAGGCAGTGTCCAGGGGCCAGATAACTTTCCGACGGCAACAATGTGGGGAGTTGTGTGCACATGAGAGGGATGGGGTGGGATGTAATCAGATCTGGGGCCTCAAGCACCAGGCCCTGGGCCAGGAGAGGGGACTGGGTGAGGTGCACCTTTCGGGGAGCATCAGGTGTCTACTGGGGCCAAGGCAGGGCTGGAAGGTAGGGTGAGGTGGCAAGGTGAGGACGCTGGGCCCAGTTCCCCAGGGAGTTGGTGAGCAGTGCGTGGGTAGGCAAGGTAGCTTTAGAAGATGGCATTGCCCTCTGACCCCCCTCCACCCAACTGTTCTGCTAAACAGTTCTGGGCTCTACCAAAAGGGAATGGTATGCCCCGATCATAAAGATGTAGCAAAAAATATCTTGATGCCAAGAGAAAGTGCCGTGCTCAATAATAGGGTTCCCTCAGTGTTTACCACAGAGTTTCAGTTGAGGTCCCTCTGTTCCCACTGCTGGCTGAGTCTGCCCTTGCACCCCCAGGTACCCTGAATCAAGACCGGCATTTTAACAACCTGTATGCAGAAGAATCACTTGGGAGATCTGCTTAAAATGTATAAAGCCCAAATCAGCAACCTTACCGCCATTGAGTCAATTCCGGTTCATAGGCATCCGTCCTGGTGGTGTAGGGGTGATCTGTTGGGCTGCTAACCGCAAGGTTAGCAGTTTGAAACCACAGGCCTCTCCGTGGGAGGAAGAGGAGGCTTTTGACTCCTGAAGAGTTACAGTCTTAGAAACCCGCAGGGGCAGTTCTATCCTGTCCTGTAGGGTTGCTATGATAAAATGCATTGTTAAAATGTAGACTCTGATTCCGTCTATAGGGGTGCAAAGGCCGCAGCGTCTCAGCAGGGGTCGACTTGGACTGAATTGAGTGGCCCACTCAACCCAACCCACTGCCCTGGGTTCTGCTTCAGCTCAGAGCCACTCTACGGGACCGAGGAGAGCCACTCCTTAGGGTTTCAGAGGCTGTAACTCTTTACAGAAGCAGACCGCCACAGTGGTCTCTCAAGGAGTGGCTGGTGGATTCGAAATGTCAACCTTTCAGTTAACCACTGCAGCTCAGGCTCCTTGCTGGGTTCCAAGGAGGTAAACCCAGGCCCAGCTATTAAGATGAAGACTGGGTTGCATGGAAGGCGCTTTAGGGCTGGCAGGTTGGGGTGCTGGCATCACCTGGACTTGGGTGTGGGCCCTGCCACCCGCTCCCTCCCTGAGTGCCTCGGCCTATTCTGATATCCCCCTCTCCCCGCTTCCAGAGCCCAGCCTCCGGAACGCCTCATCTTAGGTCTGTGAACCCTTGACCTCCCGGTCACCCGAGTGGCCCCTTCTCCTCCGCACTGTCCTTACCTCCCTCCCCCGAGTCACCAGGCACATGCAGTATCTGCTTACTCCAGGCTGCGAGGGCTTACTGGGATCCAGGACACAGCCCCACCCACAGTGCCTCCCATCTGCCTACCTCCATGTAACTTTTAATGCCCTCATGCCCTCTTTAGGGCGTTTGAGCATTGGCCCAGCCCAAATGACCTGGCCCATAGGCTGCCCCGTTTGCAGATGGGGAAGCTGGGCACCGGGGCTGGAAAATCATCCCGTGCCCAGCAGCTGTTCTGTCTCCCTGCTCAATGGACACGGCTTCTTTCACAGAGTTCTCCCATCCCATCCCCACGTCACATCAGAGTGGCTGTCCAGGGGACCACCACCACCCCACCACCCCTAGACTTTCCCTCTTGGACTCAGACCCCTTGTCCCCAGCCTTGATACAAACAGAATGCCCTTCCGAAATCTGCTGCCTAATTCTGGACTGGCGTGTTTTCCTCTGCACAGAGCACTGCTTACATCCAACTACGGGTCTTACCGGGGCTGTGTGATTGCCTGATCACACATCCAGACCCCGACCCCTTACTAGCTCTGTGATCTCAGATCGATTAAGACTCCCTCTGCCTCGGCTCCCTCACCAATGACAGAGCCAGCAGCGCAGAAATAGCAGCGACCTCAGAGAGATTTCAAGTCCTCTGCGATTTAAAGAGTAAACAAAACGGAACCGCTCAGAATGGAGCCTTCCCCTTGAGAAGTGCCCAATAAACAAAGCTGTTGGCAGCATGCCAGACATGGAGTGAGATGCCAGGTAACTGGAGGGAGTAAGGGAGGGGTGGGGGCGGAGGGGCGGCAGCGCAGGGAGTTTCCCAGGCTTGGTTCCTGCCCTCACGGAGCTCCATCTAGTCCCAAGAGAGGAGTTTATTCAATCATCTCACCCTAGGGTGAGAGCACAAGAGACCCTGGTGGTGTGGTGGTTATGAGTTGGGCTGAGATCCACAAGGTCGACAGTTTGAAACCACCAGCCGCTCCTGGGGAGAAAGATAGGGCTTTCTACTCCTGTAAACAGTTACAGGCTCAGGAACCCAAAGGGGGGTCGCTATGAGTAGACATCGAGCACTAGCTGGCAGTCAGCTAGGTGTGGGGTAAAAGCTAGTTACCATGGTGACCAGCTGTAGTGGGAGAAGCCCAGGAAGGCTTCCCTGAGGAGGTGAGGGAGCTGGGCTCCCAGGGTACTTGGGGGGATTGAAAGGGCTCAAGTGTGAAACATTTCCAGGATCAGTGGCCTCCGTGTCCACTCCGTGGGTGGAACCCTGCTCTGTGGTGTTTTCAGTGATGATTGCCAGGTCTAGCTTCCGAGACTTCTCTGAGTGGACTTGACCCTCCAACTTGGTGGAGAACAGCCCACCACATTCACTGTTTGCCCTCTGTATTAGTCTAGGTACTTTAGAGAAACAAATCCACAGCAACTCATGTATAAGAGAGTTTTATGTAAAGAAA